AGTGGGTAAGTAGTGGTGGCATACGAATGGATAAGTCAGGATTTTTGCAAGTGGATCTTAATAGGGAGGGGTACAAAGAAGAGCCTTTTATTCTAGCCTCTCAAGCTAAACAAATGTTCTATGTCACTGACCCGGTGAGTACAAAATGGTCTATAGTACTTTTATATAACAAAGTGGTTCATGATAACGGTGTAGACCAAGGTGATATTGATGATGAGAATGAGTTATGTATTAGACAGAATGAGTCGTATATTATAAATGATCAAGATGAGAATATTATAGCGGATGAATCATATATCAGAAATGATCATAATGAGGGAATTTGGATAAATCCATCCGTCTGTATTGTTAAGAAATAAGTAATTCATGTTCCAACCAAGAAAAGAAAGAGATGTTAGTGAAAGAGGTAGCATATTAAAATGTTTATGTTTATGTTTGTGTTTACGTTTAAGTTTATGTTTATATTAACTTTTGGCATTGTCATTTTATATATATTTAAGTGATTATGAAATTTTATATTGGGTTTATGTTTATGTTTATTACAGGTTAGATGGCTACTAACGACAATCACCCACGTGATGATTCTGTGCATGATGGAGATAAGGCCGTTAGTAAAATGGAAATGGAATATAGACAAAGAATAACAATAATGAAGAGAATAATTCGGGATAGAGACCAAGGCATAAAGTATGATGTGCATTGGAGTTAAGAAGGGAAACTAATTGAGCCTAATGGTTCAACATTGATGAGTTATCTCGGTTCGATGGTAAGGAGAGAAATTCCAATTACATGTGAAGATTGGAGAGCAAGAGTGTTGGACGACGCTAAAGATAAAATATGGAGTGAGATACAAGTACCATATGTGATGTTAATTGTTTTTAATGACGATTATGTCTCTAAATTACTTATACTAACGCACTTTGTGTATGATTTTCGTAGAGGTCGTTCATCATTGAGGATACCAGGAGAGATTATATTCTTAAATTGGTCGGGAAACTACATAGAGGGTTTAGAGCTTTCTTGTCAAACAAGTTTCTTAGGGGTGCGGATAAATTTTTTGTTGATGCAGAGCTTCTAAAGAAATATGCAGATTTGATTACAGCTGAAGAATGGGAAACTTTTAAATCCAAAAGAAATACCCAAATATTTGAGAGTTTAAGTGTCGTAAATCGACAACGAGCATCAAGTCCAGCATATCCATACAGAAAAGGCCGTATGGGATATGCACACTTACAACAATCTATTGTAAGTATCTATAAATTGTAAAGTATCTATAATATATGCACGCTTATATTTGTTCATTTTATTTGGCTTAATGTGTAGCTAACAAAGGAGAATAGTTCTGAAACATCTCTTCCGAAACACATTTTGTGGAAGGAAGCCTGTGTGTGTAAGGATGGAGCTGTTGAAGAAAAAGTTAAACACATTTTTGAGAGATGTGTAAGTATAACATTATTTATTTAATTACATCATACTTTTATTTATTTAATTACATCATTCTTTTATTAACATATCATTCTTTAATTACAATATTTATATGAATTTCAGGAGACTCTTTCCCGGTCTATACCTCCAGATGAAGATAATGATTGCAGGAGAATACTCTCACGAGCATTAGATATTCGTGAGTATTCTGGTCGGGTGAGGGGTAAGGGATTTGGGATCACTCCAACATCCTTGAAAAAAAATCAAATACAAAAGCTCCAAGCAATAAAGAACTTCAGGAGAAGTTGGAAAAGTTACAACAAGAAGTATATGAGCTAAGAAAGGAAAAGGAAATCGATCAAGCTACAGGTTTTAAAGATACTAGTGAAAAAGGTAGTATCAATGGTAACTTTGGATAAAATATTCCCGAGGTAATTGTATACCATCTTTATAAATTATAAAACTATATTTATTAATTATATAACCATATTTATTAATTATATAACCATATTTATTAAATTATAGGGCATTTCCCGGTGTCAACTCTATTTGTCAGCACCGACTTATCGGATGGTTGGCAAGGAAAAATTGTATAATACTTCGGGAGAAATGCTTCACCATAGACCGCTCCCAGATGTATTTTTGAAAGTATCGGTCGATGTCGTTTTAGAGGGGGTGTGTTGTTACCACTACTTGACAATGTGGCAGATGCAACATTGGTGGCAGATGCAATAGGATCGTTTGTTGCATGGCCGTCAAGCCTTGTTTGCGTAGATAATGAGGTATGCTTAAAATTTTTAACTATTCAAATTTTTTAAGGCAATTATACTTACATTTTATTTACATGGTAATGTTAGACTCCAACAAAATCCATTCCAAAAGATAAGGGGATTAGGCGGAAGACCGAGTCAATTGCATCAATTGAGGTACAACACAATTATATGACATTTATGCTATGAGAAATGCTAATTTGTGATTTTATACTCCCCCTAACTAATTATATGATAACTAGATTCATGCTAAAGAGACTGCACAAGTCAGTAGGGGTAAGGCGCCTGAAATTAGCAATATTTCCACACAAAAAAAGAATGTTGCTAAGAAGACCGTGGCTAGCAAAAAAACTACTGCTCAGTTCAGGTGGTGCCTTCAGACATATTTAGGAATTACAGATATTCCGGATGGTGCTACCCGCCTTATATCTATGAGTGCAGACATCTTTGGTTTTGAATACCTTGAAGCAATTGGTAGAGAGGATATGGAGCAAGTTTTTAGACATTTGGAATTAGGCCTCAGTGTTATCGGTATATACATCAGGTATACTCCGATCAACTTTGTTTAATTAGATGAACAATTTAATCCCTCATTTTAATGAATATAGTATAATGTTAATGATGTTTTAATTTAAGGTTTATGTATGACAACATTGTGCGCCCGCGTGGATTAGAAGCAAGATTTGGCTTCTTAGCTCCCAACACTGTCAATTCAACGAGACCAGATGATGTCATAACATATGTACTAGATTTATTCTTGGCAAACAAAGATACTGAGAAGTTGTTTATTTTGCCATATAATACTAGCAACGAGTTAGATTTTCATCCTAACTTGATCTATTATAATTTTCCTTTTTTGGCCATTGTTTAATCTTTGTTTAATCTTACAGTGGACACTGATTATTGGTTGCGATTAATCCTATGAGAGAAACTGTATATTATATGGATTCGTTATACAATGATTGCTCAACATATCCAGATTTGAAACAGATGATTGAAACGTAAGTTTTTCGCTCCCAAACAGATATTCAAGTTTATGTTTATGTTTATGTTTATGGTCAACATATCTGGATTTGTGTTTATGTTTATGTTTCTATGTGAGATTGTTCTAAACAGTCGTTTATATTTTATTATAGCGTTCTACTAGCTTTTCGCTCCCAAAGAGATATTCAAGTGCCAAAAAGTAGAGCCAACAACGTTACATGGATCAGAGTGGAGGTATATTTTCACAAAGAGATATTTAGTTTTGATTACATTAGTGATGATACTTGATAAAACAATTTAAGGGGTATATCCTGATATATATTCGTATTATCTTTCCATGTGTAGTGTCCTCGCCAGCGTAACGGTATAGATTGCGGCTATTTTATGTTGAGGTTTATGAAAGAAACTATTCTTTTGGATCGATTAGAGATTCCATCCACGGTATGGATTTCTAACTTAGGAATTACATACTATTTTCATATTTTGTGTTTCTCATAAAATGACATATTGTTTTAACTAAATCACATACTATGTTATATTATTAAATATGTAGTAATTTGAGGAATTCAATTGTGCACATTACTCAAAAGATCAATTGGATGAACTTATGGAGGAATGGTGTCAATTCATTATCGGGTTGAGAATTTTATAAGTTAAGGTATATTGTCTTATTTCTTTTGATGAGAACTTTTGAGTTTTGAGTATAAATTAAATTTGAATAAAGTACAACATTAATATTATCATGTTATGAATTTTGATCATTTGATTTTTTTTCCAGGTTTATAGGTGCATGTGTAGAAGATAGAGCTAAGATATTCATGTTGTTGTTGTTTCATGAGAATTCTCGAAGATAGAAAGATGTACAGATGTAACATCAATTTTGAATTTTAGGCATTTTAACTTGTAATTTTAACTTGTATCATAAATTTTGTAATTGTTGTTGTATATATCATCAATTTATATATATGTGTAATTTTATATATGCATATTTTATTGGAATGAAGTTACCAAATATGGTGTATAATATGGTGAAAACCTGGTTCAAATATGGTTAAAATTCGGATTAAAATGCATTATATATATTGGACAGCGTTTTTGTAAGTCAAAATAGATAATTTATTAAAAAAAATCATGAACAATAGACAACACTTTAGGAGAAAAGCGCTGTAAAAACTCAAAAAAAGTACTGCCTAAAGTGTGAAGGCGCTGTCTAAAGTGGGAGAATAGACAACGGTTTTAAAGGAAAGCGTTCTCTAAAGCCTAACTTAAAAAATAACAAAGTGCTGTCTAAAGCAAAAGTGCTGCTAAAGGGGTATATAAAAAAGCGCTGTCTAAACTGGGCATAAAAAATGCTTTTACATTAAAAAAAAACCTGTATTTTCTTTTAGCAGCGCTTCTTTAAGCAACACTTTAAAGCGCTGTTAAAAGCTTAAAAAAGTATTGTCTTTTCCGTTTTTTGTAGTAGTGGTGGTCTAAATAAGCAAATTTTTTATTAATATAGTTTTGAGTTTGTTAGTTGTTCTACTGGTTAGTTATTATTACAAGTTACAACCATGCCAGCTACACTAAAAGAACAAAAATAAACAAAGTTCTTTTTACATAATTAATAGATTATTTAATTCATAAAATAAATCATGTGAAAATAATAACACTATGCTTCGTTGTGTTTTAATTTCCAAGCTGTCACAACTCCAATATCTCATTCAACATCTCATTGTTCTCCAACCAACTTCTATTCCCATCCATCCATCCATGCATTCGTTCAAGTTGAAGCTGCGTCATTCACACTACGCGTGCACGTAGCCAATTCAACGAGTGCCCATGGAAGGGCAGCGGGCCTCACAAATCAACAACGGCACCACCGCCACCACCGACACCGTTGTCGTCGATAACGATGACGACGTTGTTTCACCGCCACCATCATTGCCACCACCACCCGGCCGTGCCCGCTATGACAACATGTACATCGTTCAATTCCCAAAAGATCAAGTCTACCGTGTTCCACCAAGCGAGAATGCATTGATCGTTGAACGTTACCGTAATATTCCAAAAAACAACGATGTAACAAGTCGAAAATTTTGTTGCTGTTGTTCCCTTCGTTGCTTGCTCACCATTGTTACAATCCTCATTACAATCTTTGCCATTGTAGGAATAGCAATAGCTATCTTGTTCTTCATTTTCAACCTATCGGGACCCACTTTCTCAATTAACCATTTCGGATTCAAAAACGGTACAGGGCCACCACATTATGAAATTTCCTTGAGGGCTAAGAACCCTAATCAAAGGTTGGGAATTAAATACATAAGTTCCGAGGTTTCTTTGATTTTCGACGATAACGAGGTTGGCACAGGAAAATTTCCAACGTTGTTGGAACAAGGTAAAGATGCTATGACACAGTTTAAGGTTGATGTAACGGGAAAGCATCCATTGTCAAAGAGAATGAAGAACACGCCCTTGGACTTAGAATTGGATATGAATCTTTGTACGAGGATTACGGCTTTGAAACTGAGTACGTGGATTATGAACGCTGATGTTGTTTGTAAGTTTAAGGTTAACAACCTTGGGAGCAATACGAGAATCTTGTCGCAACGATGTGATACAAATTTCAGACAATAATGATGATTTAATTGTTAGGGTATTATTGGGTTTGGGATCAATGTTTTAATGTTGAAAAAGTAATTTGTTGATGAAAATATATATATGCATGGTAGCAACATCAATTGAACTATAATTGATGATCCCTTTTGATCTTATTCACTTTTAAAGTTTTAGAATTTTACTTGGATTTTAGTTACTGCTCATAATTTCTTATTCCCTATCATTTCTTATTGATTTTTTTCAAATGTGTTCATTTATGCCTTACATCATGTTCTAGTTCTAGGATCTGCATTTCTTGATTTTAAATGTGCAAAATGAAGATTAATCAATAGGAGTTTTTTTTCGTGGAGTAATGAGATTATTAGTTTGAGTGTAATATATATATATATATATATATATATATATATATATATATATATATATATATATATATATATATATATATATATATATATATATATATATATATATATATATGTGTGTGTGTGTAAGAGGAGAAATTAGAAAGCAATTACTGGAATTTCTGCACGGATTAACAATTTGGATGCAAGATTGGAACGAATATTGTTCTTTTCCGATAAGACAAAATAAAGGTGAGAAACGAGATAACGCTTAGAAAAATGAAAAAAATAATGAAAATTGACAAAAACAAAAATACTCTCCTTCAAATTAATGGGTCGATCGGGTAGTAATCACAAATATAACTAGTTCTTTATTAATCATAAGTAATTCTTTATTAATCATAAGTGATAGAGTTTATATATCTATATTTTAAAATAATAATGTATATTTATTATTATTATTATTATTATTATTATTATTATTATTATTATTATTATTATTATTATTATTATTATTATTATTATTATTATTATTATTAAAAACAATGATAAAACTCACAATGATCATCATTAGTATTCATTACTCATTATTATTAACAACATTTTTTTTTGACAAAAGTAAAACTAGTTCATTTCAGAATTTTTTTTTATTAATAACCATGTATTAAAAAAATATTTCGTAAATAATCGGGTTTCGAAAAAAATTACGCAAATAACCATGTTTCAGATGACTCCACAAAGGAGGAGCCATCTCAATTGGCGCATGCACCTAGGGTTTTGCCCTAGGCGCCATCTCATTTGGCGCCTCCCTTGTCTTTTAGCCAAGTGAGATGGCGCATGCTCCTTAAAAATGAGAGGAGGCGCCATCTCACTTGGCGCCTAGGGCAAAACTAGGGCAAAATGCTGTTTTATAAATAATTCGTCCGTTTCTTTGAAATTTCTCACACTTTCTCGCACTGTATTTTTATTTTGTACTCCGTTATTTGCGTAATGACGTCGCCTATGATTTTTAGCAGAGATGGTTACGTTATATTCTCCGCCACGAAACCTGCGATGAAAATGAAATTCTGGCACATTCACTCCATGGAGCGTCTGAAGCGGGAGTTGATGCGGTGGCTAGATGGAGACATCGCGGAGGGGGAAAAAATTCGAAGGATCCAGCGAAAACGAACAACAACCTCGCATGCGACAGGAAGACCTAATGTGTGGTTGGAGGAAGTCAAAACAGACAGTGATGTAATGCTGATGATGCATGGGTCAGATGAAATTGTGTTAACAATTGTAATTTCCTAGATTGAATATCGTTAATCATTGTTGTACGCGAAAACCCTAATGTAATTTCCTATATTGAATTTCTTAAATTGTGTTAACAATTTTATTAACGGAAAACCCTAATGTTTACAACACAAATATTGAAAAGATTTATTGTATTACAATATTTATGTGGTCGAGCCAGACGCCCGATTCGGACAGTTTTTGCGATTGTGTCCGACCTGACGGCATAAACCACACTTTCTTTCTAACCTGTCAAGATCGTCCATTTCTGTTGTGATGCGCCTGCTTTTGGGACGACCCTTCTTGTTCCTTCGCATTTGGTCATTGTGCCAAACTATATCGCCGTTATATTCAGGCCAATAGTATGGTTTTGCCATCAAAGGAAAGTTGTTGTTGTAAACAGTGAGCAACGTTTCAGATTTATAAACGTTTGAGAGCAGTTGAAGCGCGTCTTGATGGGTATGAGCACAAGCGGCAATGACATGAGAGCAAGGCATACGAAATGCTTGAAACCTGGCACAATTGCACCATTGAGAAGGTAAAATGACCCTGTATTCTTGTCTTGCCAGGCCTTCATTGTGGTCGATTGTCTCTTTCACAATGAAGTTGTGGCTGTGTCGGTCAAACCGTGTAACCATGTGAGTGTTGGCTTTAGCACTTTCAGCCTTAATGTATTTCATACAGCTTTCACTCCATAGTTGTCCTGATTGCAAGACCGCATACCACATTTCACCTCTTTTGGCAAATAACGCAGCCATCCTAAAATACGTGGATTTTACCAAGGCAGTGATTGGGAGGTTTCGTATGCCCTTGAATACCCCATTCATTGATTCAATAAGATTTGTTGTCATATGCCCCCATCTTTGGCCATTGTCGTATGACCTAGTCCACTTTTCGACCGGTATATTGTCGATCCACGTACCGGCTTCTGGATTAGACAAACGGATCTCGTTGTGGTAATATTTGAATGTGGGTTGTGTCAATGCGTATCCCACATTCATCACCGCTTTCCTCAATGTTTTATCCTTGACCTCCCTCGAGAAATTCTGGACGATATGCCTGACGTAATAGACATGCGTAGAAGGAGGGTCATGCCAACCATTTGCTGGATTATTATAGGCACTTTCAATGGAGGCATGTCTGTCCGAGATCAAACAGAGATCTGGTTGAGGAGCCACGTGTGTACGAAGATTTTTCAGGAAAAAGCTCCAAGCACCACCGGTCTCCCCCTCGACAAGGGCAAACGCAACGGGGAAAATGTTATTGTTGCCATCTTGTGCAACTGCCATCAATAGCGTGCCTTTGTACTTCCCATACAACCAAGTCCCGTCAATTTGTAGAATTGGTTTGCATGATGCAAACCCTGTGATGCATGGTTGAAATGCCCAAAACACGCGATTGAATATTCCGTTGCCATGCAGTAGACTACCATCTTGGGCGTACGCTGGCAATGTTTCCAGAATATAAACACTACCTGGAGAATATGTCTTGAGTGCATTTAGGTAGCGGGGAAGTTCTCGGTATGACTCCTCTCAGTTTCCGTACACCCTTTCAATCGCCTTAGTCTTTGCTAACCACGCCTTACGGTAAGACGGAGTGTAGTTAAAAACCGTGGTGATGTGGGAGATGATTGTTTTCACCTTCAAAGAAGGGTCGTTGCTGACCAGGGGTAGGATTTCTTGACAGATTAGATCATGGTTGAGTTTTCGGTGGTCTTGTGATTGAGTGGAACTTACACAAGTATGGGTAGTCATGGAACCTATGACCCAGCAGTCACCCCTTAATCTGTATGATGCGGTCAGCTTGAACATACAGTCAGGGTGGACACACTTGATCTTGTACCTTTCCGGGTTTACACGATCCACCTTAAAATCAACCGAGTTGAGCATGTGAAATTTTTTGATGGCCCTGATGCATTCCTCTCTGTTACGAAACTTATCCTTCTCTTTTAAATTTTCATCCGACTGCATATACGGTTGGAAAAACAAGTCAGTAGAAGGTTCATCTCCGCCCATGTTGAAGTTTGTCATGTGCGTAGGTGGTGTGTAGATTTTGTCAGTAGGAATACTTGGGATGCCATCATCGTCAGAATCGCCGTTCACCATTTCATCAAACTCTAACTCGTTATCTTCTTCTTCATCATCAACTGCATCTACCTCATCTTGTTCATTCTCCAAAGGATCAACCTCCTGTGTCACCGGAGGCTCTACCTCCTGTGTCACCGGAGGCTCTTGAAGCAAAACGTACAACTCAATAGAGTCGTTTCCAGAATAGACATGGCTGGAAATCATGTTCTGGAGATCCTCGTCATCTTGAACTTCAACCTTATAAAAAATTACTTGGTTGTTTCGAAAAAAAACTGGACTCTGATAAAATATTTGGGATACCGGGCCTCGTTCAAGTTTGGCAATCTTTTCTTGAAGTACGAGAAATTTGCTTTCCCGTTTAAGAGAAATCGAACGTTGTCGGTGTTTCTAAACAAAAACCCAACTGTGGGACACATGTATGTCTCACCGTTGAAATGTGCTTTGACAACAAATTATGGTGAAGAGGCCATTGTGTAGAATTGTTTTAAGGTTTGAAGGTTGGAATGTTTGAGGTTTATTGATTGTATGAAGGTATGAATGCTGGAATGTTTGAAGGTTTGATGACTGATTCGAAGGTTGGAAGATTTTACAGATTATGTGAATCAATGTTATGTTCAACGTAAGGCAAAAAATTTCAATTAAGTAAGGGATGCAACCCCCCAAGGCTGCCAATAATATTACATGCAATAATGAAACCCCATAGCCTGCCACCTATCCTGGCCCTATTCTGCACACATAAATGTTTTGTGTAAGACTCCACCCATCAACTCCAATGGCCTTGCATGCAACAAAGAAAGGAATCCCAAAGGCTGTCACGTAGCCTGAGCCTATGCTGTAAGAAGTGACACCTCTTATTCGCCAAATGGGGTGGCGACACCATTCATTTTTGTACTCTTTCGCCAAGTGAGATGGCGCCTCCCTTACTGTCCAATCGTGATACATGCATGGGCTTATGAAACCCCATAGCCTGCCACCTATCCTGGCCCTATTCTGCACACATAAATGTTTTGTGTAAGACTCCACCCATCAACTCCAATGGCCTTGCATGCAACAAAGAAAGGAATCCCAAAGGCTGTCACGTAGCCTGAGCCTATGCTGTAAGAAGTGACACCTCTTATTCGCCAAATGGGATGGCGACACCATTCATTTTTGTACTCTTTCGCCAAGTGAGATGGCGCCTCCCTTACTGTCCAATCATGATACATGCATGGGCTTATGAAACCCCATAGCCTGCCATCTATCCTGGCCCTATTCTGCACACATAAATGTTTTGTGTAAGACTCCACCCATCAACTCCAATGGCCTTGCATGCAAC